GGGGGGGCAGCAGCCCATAGATTTGGGGAGGGGGGCAGCAGCCTATAGATTTGGGGGCAGCAGCCCATAGATTTGGGGGGGCAGCAGCCTTTAGATTTGGGGGCAGCAGCCCATAGATTTGGGGAGGGGGGCAGCAGCCCATAGATTTGGGGGGGCAGCAGCCTATAGATATATAGAAATGAACAGGAAGGGTCAGCAAGGAGCTTGAAGGTAAAGCAGCACAAAGGTAAAGTAGAAGGAGCAGAAAGGGTCAGAAATGAGCTGGAAGGGGCAGAAGGAGCACAAGCATAAAGTAGGAGAATGAGCAGGAAGGGCCTGCAAGGAGCAGGAAGGAGCACAAAGGTAAAGGAGCAGAAAGAATCAGAATGAGCACAAAGGTAAAGTAGGAGAAAGAGCAGAAAGGGACAGCAAGGAGCACAAAGGTAAAGTAGAAAAGGGAGCAGAAAGGGTCTGCAAGGAGCAGAAAGGGATCAGAATGAGAAAGGAGCAGAAGGGTGCAAAATAAGCAGAAAGTACCAGAAAGTAGCAGAAAGGTAAAAGAGCAGAAGGGGCCAAGGATAGAAAACAGTGTCAGAAGAAAAAAAAAAGACTGTCAAATGAAGGAGAGGAAAAGGAGATTGGAGCAGGAAGGACAAATGAAGTGAACCCTCCACTTTATTCTGGACACCTCATCATAAGGCTTTGTTACCTGGGCCTGGCAGGGAAACGCTGGACCTTCTCATCTCCAAAGGTAAAAAAATATCAGTATTAATGTGTTCACTTTTATTTACTGAGTGTCAGGAAGCACAGAGTGCCATTGGGTAAGGGTGTTGCTGATTGGCTAGAGCGGTCAGCTGGCACTCTAAGCCAATCAGTAGCTCCCCATTCATAAAAAAGTAAAAATATTTTATGAACCGGTGTTCTATCAGTTTGGTATACCCCGTCAGATTGCTATACCCACGTCACTTCCGGGGAGGGGAATCAGCTGTCTCCTGTGCTGCACATGCGTGCTAGCACTCCTGCTACTCCTCCACAGCAAGGTCCTGGAAGGTAAGTAAAATTAGTTTTACACTTTCATTATAGTTAGTGCATTCACTAAGCTTAGGACATGGGACATTTAGGGTTAATGTTAGGGTTCAAATTAGGGTTAGGATTAGGGACTTGTTCATATTTAGTGATATTTCACATTAGGGAAATATCACTAAATAGTGATTTCTCACACTTTATTTTAACCCTTACCCCAAGGGTTAGGGTAAGAATAGAGTGTGAGAGAGGTTAGAATCACTTACCTAACCCTAATTTGTACCCTCACTTAACCCTAAATGTCCCGTGTGCCTAAGCTTAGTGAATGCACTAACTATAATGAAAGTGTAAAACTAGTTTTACTTACCTTCCAGGACCTTGCTGTGGAGGAGTAGCAGGAGTGCTAGCACGCATGTGCAGCACAGGAGACAGCTGATTCCCCTCCCCGGAAGTGACGTGGGTATAGCAATCTGACGGAGTATACCAGACTGATAGAACACCGGGAACTAGCGATTGGCTTGGAGCGTCAACTGACCACTCAAGCCAATCAGCGGCACCCATGCCTGACGTCAATCTGCACTTCCTGACACTCTGTTTCAGAAGCCAAATACCACTGAGCGACCTGGAGCTGGAGGAAGCCTTTGGGGTTAAACCATTTGAGAGCGATTTAACCCCTTAAAGGAAAGCGAGCACCCAGGGGCTTCCTGGCATCATAGCATTTTCATTTAGGTGAAGTTGTTATGGTGACCAGAAATGTCCTTTAATTTGCTTAAAGGAACACTATAGTGTCAGGAATACAAACATATATTCCTGACACCATAGTTGTGAAAACGCTATTCACCCTGGCTTTATGTGATAATGGCTATGCCCCTTCCCTTTCATGACACTGTCAAAAAGGTACCAAGCATGGATGTCATTACAATTATGCCCCCCCCTGGAAAAATTCCTGCGGACGCCCATGAGGCACACATACATACATACAGACACATACAGACAGACAGGCACACACACAGTTCCCACTCTGACTCCCTGGTCTTCCTCCCGCGCGGCTCTCAGTGTTAGTTGGGAGGAGTGACGTGCAGTCACTTCCTCCCAGCTCGGTGATGTAATCACAGGGGGCCCGGTCGCGCTGTTAAAGCGCCCAGCGCTGACCGGGCCCCCTTACAATCCACATCCATCGGGTGGCCCTGACAGCATGGGCCACCCAATGGAACCCTCCATATGCGGCACCGGTAGTTTGCCACGCGGGCCGGGGCCGCAAATGGTGATGGTGGTACCCAGTCGCAGGGGTACCGCCGGCTTGCACCCGCCCGCTTAGTCTCTCAAAATTAGAAAATACCGCCCACCTGGAATCCTGAAACGCTCACTAGTGGGCGGTAGGGACCAGGTTGACGACCCATGCTCTAACGCAAGGATGGCGTACACCTCCTCAGCGCTCTACAACCTCTGTGACATGATCACAATCACTTTATTTAGTGATCTGTCACAAAACAAATCACACACAAAATAAACCCCTAAAAAATGCAGACAGCAAAATAAGTGCTGCTGTGCAAGAGCCAGTGATTTATAGTGATCACTGGCAAGATAGGGGTTAATGGCTCTGAAAAGAGCCTTTGGGTCTCACTATTTTACAAATCTCTACCTAAAACTACCTAAATCGCTCTACCTAAAACACAGATGTCTCTCTCTCTCTCACTTAAACACAAGTGAAGAGAGGGAGATCCACACTGATCAGAGTCATTATTTACTCAAATTGATCTGATCAGACAAATGGGGATCATAGTTAGAATAAAAGTGTTATGGGGCAAGCTCTGATTGGATGACCCTAACCTGCCTCTATGATGAGGCAGGCTAGGGACACCCACAGAAGTGTCCAACTTTGAAACCAGTGTGTGTGTGTGTGGGGGGGGGGGTGTTAATACATGTATTTTGGGGGGTATATTTCATGTTTTTATTGATTTATTATTATCTTTGTTTTTTATCTTCACTGAGTGCCTCAACCCCTCGAGGCACTCAGCACATGCAGATCACCGGAAGCCTGCCCGATCGCTTTCGATGCTCTGCTTTACTGCCTGGCACCACGTGGAGCAACCCGGAAGTGATCGCTCCAGGGGGAGCAATCACGCGGGTGCCCGGCAGTAAGGAAAGGTGTTGCACGATGGTATTGCAATACCATCAGAGCGGCTAAAAAAAGCGATCACGATCGATTCCAGTGCTCAAATTTGCCGTGGACGTATCAGGCACATCAGCGGTCCTTAAGGACCATTTTTTTGTTGGACGTACCTGATACGTCTGTGGTCTGGAAGGGGTTAATTATGCAGACCCAGGTAGAAGACTAGGGTCTGCAGAAATTCTGAGCCTCCTCTGGATTAAGAGAAAAGGATAGAAAAAAAACATATGCAGAAAGGAATAATTGTGAACAACAGAGGCGTGTGTGAACTGCATAGGCGTGCGCAGCCTATTGTATAAGGGTGTGCACCCTAAAGCACAAACACACACACCGCGTGTATATATATAAATATATATATGTGTATATATATATATATATATATATATACACATACATACACACACACACACACATACTGCTGTGTGTGTGAAGGCGCTGTGTGTGTGTGTAAGGGTGCTGTGTGTGTAAGGGTGCTGTGTGTGTAAGGGTGCTGTGTGTGCAGGCGCTGTATGTATGTGTAAGGGCGCTGTGTGTGTAAGGGTGATGTATGTGTGTGGGTGATGTTAGTGTGTGTGTGTATATGTAAGGGTGCTGTGTGTGTAAGGGTGCTGTTAGTGTGTGCTGTGTGTGCAGGCGCTGTATGTATGTGTAAGGGCGCTGTGTGTGTAATGGTGCTGTATGTGTGTGTAAGGGTGATGTGTGTGTGTGTGTGTGGGTGATGTTAGTGTGTGTGTGTATATGTAAGGGTGCTGTGTGGGTAAGGATGCTGTTAGTGTGTGCTGTGTGTGTGTAAGGGTGCTGTGTGTGTAAGGGTGCTCTCAGTGTGTGGGTGCTGTGTGTGTAAGGGTGGTGTATGTGTGTGTGTGCTGTTTGTGTGTATTGTGTGGGGTGGGGGGGGGCCGTTTAGTTAATATCCCCCCTCCCTTCTTACCTTTTGTAGGGAGGGGGGACTGTGGTGCAGTGGTGAGTGAACTTTACCCCTGCAGCCTGCTGGGTTAGAGTTCACTCTTGTGAGATCTGAGCGTTGCCGCGGCAATGCTCGACCTCGTGAGAGGAACCCGGCGGAGCTCCTGGCAAGAGCTCCCCGGGTCCTCTCCTGCCTCCTGCCCTGCCTGTGGGCTGGTGAGGGAGATCTTTGATCTCCCCACTGGTCCATAGAGGCTTAGAGCAGAGCTCAGGTATCCTGAGATCTCCCCTGCCGGTCTCAATCCATAGGCGTGCCGCGGGGATTAGGGTGTGCCAATGGTGAACTGTTTACATTGTAAGGAAGAGAATAAGGATGATGTATATGGCTAACATGATAACGTAGGCTTTGATGCAATGAATAATATGAAGAGATAGTGTAAGACTCTAACTATAGAAATGAGTATTCAGGAACTTTAGAAAGGAGTTCATTTAACCCAGATGACATACTGTCCATCAATGATCTGCCTTTATATAGAGGTCACCTTTAATGTTACCAGGTATACATTAATCATAAATATATTTGCATAGTTGTATATTATTACTATATTCAAAAGTTCTATTATGATGTCTACCCTTTATAGAGATGTTTAAGATCTATAAATACAAATATTCTTTATTAGTAAAAAATAATAATAAATGAGATTAAAATCAAGCAAACCTGATGTAATTTGCTGCACAGTAGTATAGCTTTATTTTAAAGGGCCCCTTCGGAACTACTATTTTGTCAATAGAAAATGTAGTACATATTACAAGATTTATTTTGCATCTACTGCTAATAATCTGTACAAATAGGTGATACGTTTTTTTTCCTTCTACCCTTGCTACCCACACTACCTCTCTGACTTTGCTTCCAATTTCTTACACAGCTAGCAGAAGGAAAACAGCCACAAATATTTAAAAAATAAGTCCTTCGCTCAAACTTAACTACTCCTGGGTGGAAGCAATGACTATAGTACACACCAGTTCCAATATATAATATAAAAAACAAAGAAAATAGTTACTTGCACCACTATCCCACATCCCTATGCACGTTTAAATAGCTTGAGGTTTTTAATATAACTCCAATGGCCACTTCAGTGCAAGCTCACTTGCCACGTCAAGGAAAGCTCTTAGGTGTACACTAACAATTCACCTTGCTTTATTCAGCTTCAGGTAAAAAAAACAAAACTCTAAACCCCTACATACTTTTAAACCTTAAAACTCTGTTTTTTTATGGTAGGAAAACAGCTGTAAGCTTTATACATGACATGCCTAGCCCCAGTGCATATGGTTTAAAAGCATTAAAATTAAGTTACATTACTCACCTGCTACAGCTCCTATGCACATTATTATGATTAAGATCTCCAGGAATATAATGTCCAGACCCACAGATCCTCTTTCACCAGTGGGAGATTCACTTGTGATGGTCATGTTGACCTGCAAACCTACCAGGTTGCTGGTATTGTTGTGTGCATTTGTAATGAAGGATATCCCCGTTTCTCCATGTGAGCTGTTACACATCCAGTGCTCCTGTGTGCCTTGATGTATATGCGTTTCATCTGTACCATTAGCTGTGACCTTTTCTAGTACAGTGGCCAGGATCTGCAGAGCCATGATGAGAAGATGAGGTTTGTGATACACTGGTAACTTCACAGCACCAGTTTAAGTCACCAAACTGAAGTGGATGCAGATTCTGGGTAAAACACTGCAGGAAAACAATGCTTTAATTGCACATTTTATTCATATCATCAAGATGTGTTTTAGATGTAACACGTTTTCAATAACATCTTTCCTAATTTTTTTTTTCAATATTTTTTGTATCAATAATAAAACATTGTAATAAAAGTAAAAGTGATAAAATATTGTAACAAATATATAGTAAAAAATAATTGGTCTTCAATAATATATCAGCAATTAAATTACAAAACACATTGGTAAACCATGAAGGCAGCAGTAGAAGGGGCTCACCAGTAGGGATCAAGAAGATATAAATAATCAGCAAGGTGCCACAGATCAGGGTCTAACCTCCTACAAAACGACAGAGCTAGAGACTGCCCTTGATCTAGTGCATGGAATGCCAGACACATGGTGAATGTTCTAAGCCAGGCTGGGCATTACAATGGGAAGACTGTGTTAATGGGCAGAGATGCTTGCAGACTGTGTATTAGCTACTCACCAGAGATAGGTGTGCTGGATCCTGGAACCACTATGCAATGTCCATCCAAAGGGCACCCTACAGGCATCTTGACATCCACAAAGTGTAATAGGTAAGAGAGGAACATTGATCAAGCCTTAATGTAGACCTGGCAAATGTGGTTCCTTGTATCATTCTTGATTGACTCCTCATCAGCAGACATCCAAAGCAAAGCTATCCATCTTCTGTACACTTTCTGCATCCTATCACTTGCTTTCACAAATCCCCTACATTTATTAACTGTTTGTTTTGGGCTCCTAAGTAATAATACTTAATCAAGATACATTGTTGAGAGACCTTAACTGTTAATCAGATTTGAATACTAGAAAGGTGAGAGCACACTAAAGGTTAAACATAATTCTCTCCTCTCCCTTTCATACTCATTTTGTTGAATACTAACTCTTTTTATAGCCTTATACCTCTTAAGCCAGTTACTTGTGCTTGATCCCAGTCTGCATGGTTAATGTCAACTCAATCCTCTGCTTTGTAAACCCAGATTCATGGCTGACAGGCTGCTTTGACGAATTCTTTAGCTATTTTCATTGTTTAGTTTAGGATACGGTCCTTCCTGCTCAGATCTTCTCCTCCAGGAACTAAAACAAGTATCCTATCCCTGTTTGGCAGAAGTCCCCAGAGCTATATGTTCCACCTGCTCATTTGCACTGCATAAACTAGCAATTTCATGTCAAACAACTAGTACCGCATTTAATGCAAGATGCTCATTCAGTACTGTACCATCTGTTTCTTCTATGAAAAAAACCCACAGATTATTCAAGCACATTGTCAGAAAAGAGGAGAACAGGATCGGGTACCAAATTACACACCCTCAGCCTGATTAAAATAAAAACCTTGTTTTATAGTTGTTTTTTTTTGTTTGTTTTTTTTTATTAAAATGATGTAATGTTCTTTTGTATCTTTTGTCACTGTTCACTTTTATATGAAAATACTATATTTATATATAAATAAAATGTAGTCCATAAATATCTGTGTGAAAGTTAGAACAAGCTATATCCCCCTTGTATCACCATCTTGGTTATGGGGCTTATCAGCTCTAAAGTGATTTGTGGAATTCCAAATTACAGTTATTTGTCGCAGGGCCGGATTAAGAGCACACTGGGCCTGGTGCTGACAAATATGATGGGCCTAATTACGGAATCTTATCAACCAAAAACACTAAAACAGTCATACCTCCCAAGCGTCATGTATCTGATGGAGATGGTGCTGGAGGGAAACTCAAAGGATGCAGCTATAAGAAAACACATACTCTATGCTAATCTCTCTCTAATTTATGCTTTCATCTTTCAAGTAAATCCATACCCCCTAACAGCAGTGTCCAGCGAAGCAGGAAGTCAATGGGCTGGGTAAAAGGGTGTGCCACTGGCGCGAATCACTTTACCAGACTTGCCAAAAGGGGAGAACATGCCCAAAAAGGGTCTGTCCAAAGAATTTGAAGGACAACCTGGGATGAATGCATGTCAGGCTGCCCGCCAATCCTGCAGGCAGGGCCGGATTAACATAGTGGCTGATGGAGCTGCAGCTCCAGGCCCAGGCCCAGGCCCATGGAATAGGCCCATTTAAAAAAAAAAAAAAAAAGTCATTTTTTTTAAAAACTTTTTTTTTTTTTTTGCACACTACTCTTATGTCTGCCATCTGACTGGTATTTTACCAGCACAGACGGTATTTGTGGCTGCCGGGCTATGCCGGTATTGCAGTAATACGGCAATACAAATGCAGATATTTTTATCAGTATAAACAGAGATTACTCTGCAATACCAGCACCAGCCAGTAGGGGTCACTGTGTGTGGAGAGAGGCAGGGATAGGAAGTTACAGCATATCCCTGCCTCTCTCTACTCACTAATCCGCGGGGGAGCAGCTACAGAGCACAGAGAGTCTAGACAGCAGCTCCCAGCCTGCAGAGACAGCCTACAGCTCAGGGAAGTGAGGGATGAGGTGAAAGGGAGACATGGGGACATTGAGACACTAGGGGACACTGGGAGACCTGGGGACACTGGGAAACATGGGGACACTGAGACCCTAGGGGACACTGTAAGGCATGGGGATGCTGTGAGACATGGGGACATTGGGATACACATTGGGACGCAGAGACATTAGGGACACAGTGTCTCCATGTCTCCCAGCCAGTGTCCCTAGTGTATCTGTGTCCCCATATATCCCAGTGTCCCTAAATGTCTGTGTCCCCATGTCTCCCAGTGTCTACATGCCCCCCAGCCAGTGTCCCTAGTGTCTGTGTCCCCATGTCTCCAAGTGTCCCTATGTCTCCCAGCCAGTGCCCCTAGTGTCTGTGTCCCCATGTCTTCCAGTGTCTGTGTCCCCATGTCTCTCAGTGTCTCTAGTGTCCCCATGTCTCCCAGTGTCCCCAAATGTCTGTGTCCCCATGCCTCCCAGCCAGTGTCCCTAGTTTCTCAGTATCCCCATGTCTCCCAGTGTCTGTGTTATTGTTAGGAGCCGGTTTGAAGGTAAATCTGGAGCCAGGAGCTAAAGTCTCTTTTGTATTTCTTCCTTTGTTAATTGCTCTCATTTCCTGCTTTTCCTGGAAGGTAAGACAGTCTCAGTCTTTTTCTCAGGTGATATACAGAAGCTTGCAGTAAGACAGAAACAGTTTTGCATAGTTCCAAGAGACTTTCAGCAATGATTGTTAGAACGTTGGTTAACCCTGTAGTCTCCGGTTTAAGGCCTTTACATTGAAGTTAATGTTCTTATTGAAAGACTTCATATCTTGGCTCCTGTGAACTTGCTGCATACTGACCTTCAAACCTGCTCTTAACAATAACCTGCTCCACCCTTACCTATACTTCAAACCAGACTGCCTCTGTAACCAGCCTTCCACTGTTACTAGCCTTCCACTGTTACCAGCCTGCCTCTGTTACCTGGAATTTACAGACATTCATTATTATTGCAAGTAACCTGTTCTGTGGCAAGTATCCTGTTTGGTGGCATATTGACTAAAGTCTGTTTTCATTCAAGTTTTATAATATGTCTAAAAACACTAATAAAGTACCTGAAGTCAACCCTGGCATAAGTCTCCTATCTGACCTGCAAAAGATCATGACAATATCTCCTAGCGTCTGTGTCCCCATGTCTCTGTGTCCCTTGTGTCTGTATCCCCATTTCTCCCAGTGTCCCCAAATGTTTCAGTGTCCCCATGTCTCCCAGTGTCCCCATATCTGTATCCACAAGTGTGCCCAAGTGTCTCAGTGCCCCCATGTCTTCCAGTGTCCCCAAGTGTCTCAGTGTCCCCGGGTCTCTCAGTGTCCCCATGTCTTACTGTGACACAGGACACACTGAGACATGGGTACAATGTCTTTGGGCAGACATGCCCCCTTTTTGGGCATGTTCGCCCCTTTTTGCAGTTCTGGTCACGTTATTCGGGGTCAGTTGCCCACCCTTTTACCCCGCCCATTGACTTCCTGCTTCACTGGACACTGCTGCTAGGGAGTATGGATTCACTTGAAAGATGAAAGCATATTAGAAAGAGATTAGCATATATTGTGTGTTTTCTCATAGCTGCACCCTATGAGTTTCCCTCCAATACCATCTCCATCAGATACACGACGCTTGAGAGGTATAACTGTTTTAATATTTTTGGTCGATAAGAATCTGTTATTAGGCCCCATCATAATTGTCAGCACCAGGTCCACTGGACTATTAATCTGGCCCTGCCTGCAGGCTGTCCAACTAAGGGCATACTATGCAGGCAGCACCATGAGCTTGACATAAATGCATCTAATGATGCGCTCACTCCGTGCTTTCTAAGGACTGTCCCCTATCACTGGCTGGTCCACTTGTCACCTTGCCTTCTTACTAGCAGACAGAAGGTCCTGGTATATAGTCTGAGACAGAGAAAAGGTGTATGTAGTGAGTGTAGAAGAAAGGGGACATGCCACAGTTTTAGAGAGATCAGCGTCTGCATTACCTAAACTAATTTTATTGTCAGCTAGTCCACACAAGTTTTGTTCCCATACATCCCTCTTAAGATTCCAAACTTAAAGGGACACTATAGTCACCAGAACAACTACAGCTTATTGTATTTGTTCTGATAAGTAGAATCATTCCATTTAGGCCTTTTGCAGTAAACACTGTCTTTTCAGAGAAAATAACTCCACTGGACACTCCTTAGATGGCTGCTAGAGGTGCTTCCTGGGGCAGTACTGCCTTGTGTGCAGCACTGCCATTCAGTATCTCCACCCTCTGCATGCAGACACTGAACTTTCCTCATAGAGATGCATTGATTAAATTTATCTTTATGAGGAGATGCTGATTGGCCAGGGCTATGTTGGACTTGTGCTGGCTCTGCCCCTGATCTGCCTAGTTGACAGTCTCAGCCAATCCTATGGGGAAGTTTTGTAATTTGCTCAGACCACCACTTCTAATGATGTCAGCAGACAGTCAATTCAGAGGCAGAGCCAGCAGCTGCAGACTTGAATACCAGTTATATTTTACTATACTTAGCGAGACAAGAAGGGGCCAGGGTGGTGGTTTTAGTATAATAGGGTCAGAAATACATGATTGTGTTTCTGACCCTATAGTGCTCCTTTACACAAGGGTATGTGAAGAGTAGTTAGGGTTGCCACCTTTCTTGGAAAAAATACCAGCCTTAATCATTTGTATAATCAGAGAAAATTCTGTAAAATCACCAACAAACTACTCACAGTTTGATTCTAGATGAATTGCTCCCAGTGTCTCAGTCTCGCAAGTCACCCAGTGTCTCAGTGTCCCTATGTATCACAGTGTCAGTGTCTCCATGTAGCCCAGTCCCCTAGTCTCCCAGTGTCTCAGTGTCATCATTTCTCCCAGTGTCCCAATGTCTCAGTGTGTCCCCATGTCACTAGGATACTGGGGACACAGTGAGACATGGGGACACTGGGAGACATGGGGACACTGGGAGACATGGGGACACTGATACATTTAGGGAAACTGGGAGAAATAGGGACACTGAGACACTAGGAGACATGGGGACACTGAAACATTTGGGGACACTAAGACACAAGGGACACTAAGACACTAGGGACACAGACACTAGGAGACTAGGGGACAGGGGGACACTGACTGGGAGACAGACACTTGGGAACACTGGGAGACATGAGGACAGTTGTGGACATAGACATGGGGACACTGGGACATATAGGGACACTGGGAGACCTGGGGACACTAGTGTAACGAGAATATACCCCAACACGCAGGATTCAGCTAAACAAAAGACAACACAGAGGAGAGATACGTCTACCGGACCTTAGAATGGCCGGACTCGACGTATATGAGAGGAGACAGAGTCAGGAACAATCCGAAATCAAGGGCACAGAGAGACAGCGTAAACTAGGACAAGCCGGGGTCTGGTACACAGTAAACAACAAGCCGACAACCAGAACAGAAGGATAAAGAGAAAACGTAGTCAGAAACAAAGCCAAGGTCAATACGGAGAAACACAACTGAACACAACAAGCGCTAAAGGGAACTGATACAGAAACCACGATAGGGCAAGGAACAAAGGGAAGAAGGTGAGTATAAATACCTAAACATCTAATTTGATTGGTCCCTGTCACATCCACGCCCCCAAAAGGTAAGTGTATGGGGAGTGTGGCATGACAGGGACCAATGGGATGCCTTTTCCAATTTAGGCACCCACTGTCCCTTTAAGAGCGCGCCCGATACCCGCGGCGCGCTCTTAGAGTTAGGTGGAACACGTGACCGCTTTCCAGTCACAGCCGTCGGATGAGCCGCGCGCGGCTCGTGCAGCAGCAGGACCGCGCGCGGCTCGAACAGAGGACCCCGGCCGGCCCCTGGAAAGGGTAAGTACCGCTACAACTAGGCACACTGAGACACTAGGAACACAGACACTGGGAGACATGGGGACACTGAAACATTTAGGGGACACTAAGACACTAGGGACACAGGGACACAGACTATGGGACACAGACACTGGGAGACTTGGGGACAGTTGTGGACATAGACATGGGGATACTGGGACATATAGGGACACTAGGCACACAGAGACATGGGACACAGACACTGGGAGACTTAGGGACACTGAGACACTATCGACACTGGATAGGGGACATGGGGACACTGGGAGAAATGGGGACATAGTGTCTCCGTGTCCCAATGTCTCAGTGTCTCCCAGTGTCACTATGTCTCACAGCATCCCCATGTGTCTCAGCATCCACATGTGTCCCAGCGTCCCCTAGGGTCCCAGTGTCCCCTAGTGTCTCAGTGTCCCCATGTTTTCCAGTGTCCCCATGTGTCCTAGTGTCTCAGTGTCCCCTAGTGTCTGAGTCCCCATGTGTCCCCATATGTCCCCTATTGTCTCAGTGTCCAAATGAGTCCCCTAGTGTCTCAGTGTCCCCATGTGTCCCTGCTGCCTTTCCCCCCATCCCTCACTTACCTGAGCTGTAGAGCTGCTGTCTGGACTCTCTGTGCTGTGTTGCTGCTCCCCCACGGGTCAGTGAGTAGTAGAGAGAGGCAGGGATATGCTGTAACTTCCTATACCTGCCTCTTTCCACACACAGTGACCTCTACTGGCTGCTGCTGATATTGCAGAGTAATCTCCATTTATTCTGAGAAAAATACCTGCATTTGTATTGCCGGTATTACTGCGATACCAACACGGCCAGGCAGCCTCAAATACCGTCTGTGCCAGTAAAATACCAGTCAGGTGGCAAATTTTTTTTATTATTTTTTTTTAAATGGGCCTATTCCATGGGCCTGGGCCTGGAGCTGCAGCTCCATCAGCCCCTATGTTAATCCGGCCCTGATTTGTCGTTAGATCTGGGTTCTTGTTATGACCGATTAAGAGTTAATTCCCCTCCCCCTTCTTTTTCATTATCTGTCATATGCTTTTAGTACCATAGCCTGCCTCCTTGATCCCTGCTTTTTTCCAACATCGATTTCATTAATTTTATGCGAGTATATTTTATACAATTACTTTATTTACAATAAAAATAAGAACTCCCTTACCTTAAATTAACCCAACTTTAGGTCTCCTTAACTATTAGGAGCTCCTGGTTTGTGTATTATTGAGTTTGTCTTGTTAGGGTCATTCCCTGTTAAGGGGAGCATAGTTACAGGTGACCTTGGTGCGGTTGTCCATCAGTCCTTGGTAACCTCCTGGGCTGAGAGACAACATCCCCAATATTTTCCTTTTGTTTTGTTTTTATGATATAAATAGTAAACATACTTACCTGAAACTGTCATTTACAGTATCCTCCATTGCATCAATTTGAGAGAAAACCACTCACTTTCTCAAGAAACACAATATGCATGTGTTTTGGTCTAAACAGCTTTAATAACAAGTAGGAGAAATGTTGGAGAAGAGTTAGATGAGTATAGTGAAGGCAAATCGTGGTCAAGTACCAACCAGAAAGCACTGGCGGATCCAGAGCCTTATCTCGGGAGGGGCACTCATAGATTGTTTAAAGAAACAATTCAGTCACAATAACCACTACAGCTCTATTGTGTGGTTATGATGCCAGGAGTGCCGTGGCGCCCTCCCAGAGTAAATAGTCAAACTGTTTAAGAACAGTTTGACAATTTACCTGGGGTATGCCAGGATAGGGGCTGTAGTAGGGGATATGGCCTCTAGTAATATGTATGTGTGTGTGTGTGTGTATGGGAGGCACTGAGTGTGTGAAGGATGCAGGGTGGGTATGGGAGGCAGTGTGTGTGAGGGGTGCACAGTGTGTGTATGCACAGGAGGCAGTGCATGTGAGACAGTGTGTGTATGGGTGTGCAGTGAGAGCACTGTCTTTAGGGGGGCAGTGTGGGTTTGTGTGAGGGGTGTAGTGTGTGCATGGGAGTGCAGTGTGTATATGTGGGGTGCAGTGGGAGCACTGTGTGTGTATGGGGCTAGTGTCTGTATGAGGGTGTACTGGGAGCAGTGTGTGTATGGGAGTGCAGTTGGGGAAGTATGTGTATGGGGGTGCAGTGTTTGTGTGGGTGCGCACTGTGTGTATGGGGGTGCAGTGTTTGTGTGGGAAGCACTGTGTGTATGGGGGTGTAGTGTGTGAGGGGAGAAGTGTGTGTGTGGGGGGGTGCAGTGTGTGTGGGAGAAGTGTGTGTATGGGGGTACAGTGGGGAAAGTGTGTGCATGGGGGGATGTGGGTACAGTTTGTGTAGTGGGACAGTGTGTATATGGGGGGCTGTGTGTGTGTAGTTGAAGGAGGGGGCAGAGTAAAACAATTGTTTGGGTTTTTTTTTTATTTGGTTTCCCTTTGGCAGGGAAGGGGGATATTGGCTTATTAAAGCTTATTGGCTTATTAAAGTTTGGAAATATGTTGTCGAGTTACAACAACTTGCTATATAATACATTCAGATCGTGATTTTTATTTAGCCCTCTCTCGATAATGATATTAACAAGAACTTATCAGACATACAGCCCCATAGTTACGTTCACACAGGGTTATTCACTAAAGTAGGGGTCACATGAGGGCCACATGCCATGGCTGTGTATGGATGCAGGACAGCATTCTATTTGTTGCTAAAATGGAATAGATTCATTAATGATGATAGTGGTAATAATAACACACAGGAAAGGAGCCAATGTCTCAATGCTGATCTTTTAGCAGTTTAGTAAATGGCCCTCTAACTTGGTTTCCTTATGTGGGTTTGCCAAATTAGGTCTCTACTAAATAGCTGAAATATCAAAATTAATAAAAGCTAATTTCTTCCCCCCATGTCATTCATGTCACCTTTCCCCAGGCATATCCCCTCTCTTCGTGTGCCCATTTCTCCCTATCACTATTTCCCTTCTCTAGCAGCATTTCTATTCTTTTTTTTTTTCTGGTAGAATTTCATTGCCCCTTTTTAAAAAACAAAAAACAAAAAAAAAAAACACTATCTCGTTAGGAATACTAATCTGTATTCCTAATGCTATAGTGTCCCTATCCCTACTCCGTCTTATGGACACTGCACCCAGGCCACTTCATTGAGATGAAGTGGTCTGGGTGACTATAGTGTTCTTTTAACAGACTTGTCCTTCTTTTTAGCAGTGTCCCCCTTATTTCCCAATGCCACTCTTCACTGCCACTTCCATTTCCCCTCTTTCATGGCTGGATTTACCCAATCTGCTGCCCCACTGCCAGTTTCCTCAATGCTCTCCTGCCCCGCTCCTATATACGTAATTGAAAAGTGGAAGGGAAATGAAATCCTGTCTACCCTTTTTTAATCAGTTGCAGATTTCAATAAAACTCGCAGCAATGTGCGGTATATATGAGAATATCACAGAGCTTCTCAGCAATAAAACTCAGAGTAATGCACAGTGGGTAGGTTATCACAAAGCTCCCCAGCAATGCAGTACTGTGTTTATGTGTATCATAGAGATCCACACCACTAAACTCTATAAATGTATCTCAGAGCTCCTCTGTGTTTGAGTGTGATATGTATGTGTGTTTGGTTGAGTGTGTGGGGGCTAATGAGTGTGGTATGTATGTGTGTTTGACTGAATGTGCTGTGTGTGGAAAGGTTTAGCGTGTTTATGTAAGGTGGCTGAGTGTGATTGCATGTGTGGATTGGCTAAATGTTATTGTGGTTGCTGAATGTGTGGGGGTTGTACGATTCTGCTTGGCTCAGTTTGATTGTGTGGGGATTGTGTGTTTGGCATTAAAAAATGTTAACTGAGTAATCAGTTTTTCTCATCTGTTGCTTTTTTTTGCAAGCCAATTATAATTTTTTAATATATGCCATTTTAAATAACAAAACAAATGTATCAAATTGTTACTTTTCAATTAAACATCTCCCACAGTTATACAAACACACATACACACAGTCATACAGATACATACTGTGAAGAAAAGAGACTGTTAATTCGAGACTTTTAAGGCCATTCGTGACTTTTTATACTTTATTAGTAGATGAAACTACTGAACACCGACCACCCCCTCCCCCCAACCCCATGCTCATTATCTACAAAGGGAACTGTCGATTGAGCGCTCTCTATGGGTGGTATAGCCGAACGCCACGTGGTAGAGAAAATGGCGGCCATCTTGTTTGCACGAAAGGAGGCAGCGGGACTTGGTCATTGAGTGTCTGGAACTAAAATCGGACACTCAACTTCCCGAACACCGGTAAAAACATACAAACGCCTGCTTCCCTTTCCTGAACGGCTAGGAGAGCGCCGTTCGGTAGTCTTGTTCCCACGAACAAGGGGAACAATCGCTCCTATGAGCCAGGGGGCTCTGTTCGTGCTTTAGTTTGTTTATTTGACATTTTTGAAATAGACAGACTGCACAGCCTAAATGCATGGAACTGTTTTGGGCAGGAGCCTCGTGTGCGGTGATGATAGTGGGACTTCCATAGAATTTGAAAACCCCTGAACTGATCTGGGTGATTTTTGGATATGTTGGTCACCCAGATCAGGGCTATCATGGGATCTGACATTTATAGGGATACCATGTGTTTTAGGGTTCTTTCCAAGTTTTGGGGAAAATATGTTTTTTTCTGCCTGGAGATAATTGGGTTATCCTTTAACTGACTCAATTATCTCACAGGCAGAAAGGAGAGGATTGTATGTTTGCACTGGGAGTGTTTCACTTTGTCACTGTCATGTTATTGGTTGTAACTTTTATGTCCTGGTGCCCCACAAGGTCCATGTGGGAGGTCCCCTTGCATGGGGACTTGCATAAAAGCCAGTGTGGCATCAATAAAATTAAAATAAAGTTGCTTGCATTAGTTTTCTACACTGCTCCTTCTGCATCACTATAGTCCAAGCTGCCAGGAACAGTGTGTAGAACTATATGGGACTCAGCTGTCTGGTGCAGTAGGGGGCAGACAGAGAGGGCAGTCGGGGAGCCAGGTCCAGTAGTTTGCAGCAATTAGTTGACATGCTGGCATAGTACATGGGACAAGTACAGTCCACAGGTTGGCAACTCCTGCACATAAATGAGAACTCAAAGTGAAATTTAAATGTAAGACCATAATAGCTGAACTGAAAACATTCTCTAACACAGCTATGCTTCCAGTGTTGCTACTTTGGCTTTCAATTTTTAATTCATTTCGAATTCTCAAGTTAGTATATAACCCTGGTAGCCATACTACACAAATGCATGAGCATTATGGCAAATGTAAACAAGAAAACACAGTAGTCCCCTTCTACAGGCAGGTACCCCTGATAAGTTATATCAAATCACTCAGGACAAACACTACCTTAAAGGACCACTATAGTGCCAGGAAAACACTTGTTTTCCTGGCACTATAGTGCCCTGAGGGTGCCCCCACCCTCAGGGTCCCCCTCCCGCCCGGCTCTGGAAGGGGGAAAAGGGGTAAAACTTACCTTTTTCCAGCGCTGGGCGGAGAGCTCTCCTCCTCCGATCCTCCTCTTCTCCTCCCATGCGGCTGAATGCGCACGCGCAGCAAGAGCTGCGCGCGCATTCAGCCGGTCACATAGGAAAGCATTCATAATGCTTTCCTATGGACGCTTGCGTGCTCTCACTGTGAAAATCACAGTGAGAAGCACGCAAGCGCCTCTAGTGGCTGTCAATGAGACACTCTGATGCTGTACTCCTTAGTTATTAACAAATCTGTTATGTTGTTATCAAAATATATTCTGGATACGAGAATGTATATGCATTTAATCTATGAAGTAAGACATCTTTGAATTAATTCCACACTTACTTGTAGATACTAGAACGTATAAGTATTGAATCTATTCCGTAAATCATCACAGACCAATGCATTCATTTATTTATTTAAAAGTGACACTAGAATATTGTTTGAAATGCTCTGTTATGCTATACAACTGTCAGTTGCAAATCCTTTCTGCTTTTAAATCAATGTTGCTATATATTATTATTGTTATAATGTGACTGTTTTTGAAAAATTAATAAAAAATATTAAATTTAAAAAAAACCAAAACACAGTAGTGTGGGCAGAGCTGCTCCTCTGCGGATCTGATTCTCTCTACTCCCTGATCAGCGGTGGAGCAGCTCTGCCCACAGAGTCCAGCCAGCAGCTCAGAAGAACATGACATGCCGGTCTTCCGCATTGGTGTTTTTAGCTTCACAACCAACGACCACAAAGGGACTAGAATCGGGTTCCAACAGGGGAGTGTCACCCTAAACAGACACCAAGCTAGACAACTTAAAACCAGTTCAATAGGCTCTATACCAGGTGAGAGTTTTTAAATTAGTGCACTATATTTCCACTGGTAAATATAATACTACACCTAGAAGTTCTCATTTTTATCGTATCTGCTTCATCTCCACATATACATCCCATTGGGAGCTGTTTGCATCTACAGAAGAAGGTTGTGCATGCCACCTGAAGGCACACAATTTCTTGAGTTTAGAAAAGGCTCTACTCCATGTGAGTTTATTTCCACCTACCTAGTATTATATATTCAGTATTCACTATTCATTTTTCAGTAATACACTATATGTATATTTATCTCTTTCTGTTATATGTACATTCACCATATATCTCTGTGAGGGGTAAGTCCCAGGTTAATTTTTAAGCACTGCACTCATACTTTATGTTTTGAAGGGATTATCACCTAACCGATTTTAGTTTTACATATTATCCTTGCAAATGTTCCTATAAACATCATATAGTATCAAGATTCCACATGACTGTTCTTTGGATCCTAGTTTTTTCTGTATCTAATATTGGTCTCAGAAACCCATTCAAATAACATTTCATAGGTATTTTATCAGTATTAGTAGTTATCATTGCATTACTGCTGATGGATGTCCAAGTCATTGTATTAGGTACATTCTTCTACAACGTAACAGAAGAACTTCCTTAAAAGTACACGCTTATCTATCCTTCACAGGCTCAAATGTGAGTCATTCACTATATTTATTAAAATAAGACATGCAGGCAGCTTTAATTTAAAAACGGTTGATCCAAAAGAAGGCAAGAACCCAGTTTGATGTGCTTTCTAATTTGCAACAAGCTAGGGAAAAATTCCTTCTTGACCCCAGAAAGTAGTCGGATTTATCCTTGGATCAAGCAGATATCGCCCTACAATGAAAGTTGATGCCCGGTCGTTATGACAAGTATTAAATAGGTCTGATAGTGATTGTAAAACTTGGATGTTGATGGGAAATCCGGAGATTGAAAATTCCCAGAACCTGAACCCTTGGTATGAGGACATGAAACTGCGTGTGACTAGAAACCTGTACAACATGTGAAGGGATAGGTAGAGTTGATGCAAGTAAGAGGTGGCAAAAGAAGCGAAAGGCAATCGCAGACAACAAATCAACAGGGACAGTAAACATTAGATGTGAAACAGAAGCCTCAAGGGGGAAGAAGGTCTGAACACATGCACTGCGAGTGCTAGAAAGACGAGAGCCAGACATGAAAAAAAAAAAGACAACCACGAGCTCACAAGGCGGGCAGCCAGCGAACAAGCCCAGAAACGCCGGGAATGGTAGCGGCTGCGGGAGAGGCTATTGGCAGGGCCACATTAGAAAGCGTGTAGGAGGCACAGGACCGATCGTACGAAAGTGGTGTGGGAAGACCGGTTCGGATCCAGCCAAAGCGGCAGATGCCAGTTACCCCAAACCGCCATCCGACACCGCCCCATAGCCGACAGCAGCATTACCCCTGTAGGTGGACAGACACTGAGAGAACAGCTGACCGGAAGGCTGCCGTGGGGGGGGTATATAAGTCGACTCACGAGAAATCGCAGCGAAGCGAGAAGCGCCCACGACCTGAAAAAGGTAGGCGTAGCCAAAAACTCCAAAGGGTGATGAGAACCAGACCCAGCCAGAGAGCCTGGGCGGAAAGAACACCACACCTAGCAGCCGAGACCCGCTAGAAAGAGAGACGAAGAAACCGCACATAAACGACCCAACATGCGTTTGAGCGTGAAAGTGTATGTGTGCGTGCTGGCATACTAGCTAATGCCAAAAGGCAAAACAATTAAAAACTAGGTTTGGGGACAGGTTAGGCCCTGTTAGATGCCAAGCGGCGTGAGAGGCTCTAACTATGAGTTGGCGCGAGGGGAGAACGTGGCCACTGAACGTTGTGGCGGGGTGTTGGCCTCTCGGTGACAGTTAAACATAGGATAGAATGGGAGTGATAAGTGAGGCCCTCTTGCCATGATGCGAGGCGACTAACTATGATTTGGCCCGAGGGGTGTAGTACCTCCGAGTATGAGGTGTTGGCCTCGCGGGACCACCAACCTAAGGTGAAGAAGCTGGGGGAATTACAACTAGTGGACACCTATGACCGTGACAGCCAGCCACAGCTAACTAAGAGGGGAGGGAAGGTAGCGTGAGAGAGGACGGATTTAATGAACGTGTATCGAAAGAACTGACCGGAAGGCTGCCGCAGGGCCGCCCGTAACCGAAAAGCAGAGCAAGCACGTCACAGAGTCCAGGCAGTCAGGCCTAAAGGAGCATGCCCTGCAATAGGTAATAGAGTACGTGTTGGTGTAAAGCCCACGGGGCTCGCGAGACCCAGTGTGAGTGTGTGCTGGCATACTAGCTAAAGCCAAAAGGCGAAACAATTAAAAACTAGGTTTGGTGACAGGTGAGGCCCTGCTAGGTGCCAAGCGGTGGGAGAGGCTCTATCTATGCGTTGGCGCGAGGGGATAACGTGGCCACTGAAAGTTGTGGCGGGGTGTTGGCCTCTCGGTGACAAACATAAGATAGAATGGGAGTGACAGGTGAGGCCCTCTCTATGCCACAATGCGAGGCGACTAACTATGATTTGGCCCGAGGGGCGTAGTACCTCCGAGCATGAGGATGGGTGTTGGCCTCGCGGGACCACTAACCTAAGGTGAAGAAGCCAGGGGGAATTACAACTAGTGGACACCTATGACCCTAACAGCCAGCCACAGCTAACTAAGAGGGGAGGGAAGGTAGCGTGAGAGAGGACGGATTTGATGAACATTGTAACGGACCGTTTTGCACACAAGGGGTAAAAACCGTTTAGGCGATCGTCCCCTTTTCAGAGATGCAGGCACAGCTATTGTAAAACACCAAACTCACGAACCGCCAATAAGGGAATGCTCCAAACTCCCGAGCGGCATCCAATATAGCACTCCAAACACACGAACTGGAACCATACGAATCACTGCTAGCAGATGAATAGGAAAAGCATCCAAGCGGCTTACACTCCTAGCAATCAGTCTCTATCAGCATTCAGTAAATCCCCCCAAAGACGAGACAAGGCTCCGTGTTAAGGGTCAAGCAGTGGTCAGATAGAGCTGTGGGTTTATTGTTCTGACACATTCTTACACATTAGTACCACCCACAGGGTTTTGGAACACAACCAATAAACACATACAATACACTCAGACACTCCCACACAAAATCCTCCCCTCTGCCTGTGATACAATTACCTTACACAATGGGTAATGTAATTATAACAAGCAGAGAAATACAATTTTTCCACATTATTCATAACTTGAAAAGTATGCATCACATTCACATTTTCAGAATCAGCATACTCCAAATACAAACATATGTCAAATTCATACAAATTGGTCCAATGGTTCAAAAGATAGATCGTAGTCCTTTGTGACCAAAGGAAGCATGGTTTTTCTGCCCAAAACCAGTTCCACAGAGTCTTCTATCCTGGAGATAATTGGGAAGTAATCCAATTATCTCCAAAGACAGAGGCAAAACTCCATTGAACACATGGCAGCAAAAGACAATAAAACACATAAAAACATATAACTGTGCAGCCATTGCACAAAACAGGTACATTCAACATATCCCCAGATAGCTCAGATCTGAGCGCACATTATTACTGAATGGCGCTCAGAGCACACACATATAGATCAATTGCCATGGAGCCAAAGTCTTTCCCATAGTCTTTCATTATACGAATAGGCTCCATGGCATAGCTATCTGGGGTATCACCGCTCAAACAGGGCAAGCACCAAATGACCCGGCTTTCATGTCTTTGCAGAGGAAAATCAAGCCTTTTAAGATGGGGCCATAATCCAAAGGCAACAGGCGAGCAACCAGGCTTCTCCAATGCAATGTGGCGAGATTGGTCTCGTCACAAACATGTATCGAAAGAACGTGAAGGTGAACAAGGAAGTACTGCAGGGCCGCTAGTAACCGAAAGCAGAGGAAGCACGTCACAGAGTCCAGGCGGCCAGGCCGAAAGGAGCATGCCCCGCAATAGATAATAGAGTACGTGTTGGTGTAACGCCCACGCGGCTCACGAAACCCATCGTGAGTGTGTGAGTGAAGAAGCCAGGGGAATTACAACTAATGGACGCCTAGGACCCTGACAGTCAGCCACAACTAACTAGGAAGGGAGGGTAGCGAGTGAGAGAGAGGATGTACCTGAGGAACGTGGAATGAAACGTGAGGAGGTGCAGGAAAATAATGTAGCACGAAAAGAATGGCGGGCAAATGTGGCCCAGCCAAGTGGGGAAGCGAAAACCCGAACAAAGAATACGGGTCAGACTCCACAGCAGGACTGAAAAACCTCGGTATGAAACTGTTCCCCAACGAGTGATCAATTTACCCTGTATTGACCAAATTATGACGCGAAAAAATAAAAAAAAATTCAAAAAAACACTTGAAGAATAATAACCTAAGCATAGTGAATACTTTGAGTAGTCACATGTCTGCTACAGATATACTGTCCAATATGAAAGACTATGGTGTGCATTCTCGCACTATAGCTTGCAAGAATTACGGCATGCACCAACAGCAGTGACCAGCATGCGGCGCCATATCAGAACAACTATAATTCTCATTATCCTCAGCCAGTAACGGAGATGCAATTAAAACTATCAAATACAGAAATGTTGTTAATGAGTAACATGCAGTAAGAGTACCATGTGCACACTAGGTGCTGGTAACAGATAAATAAAAAGGCGGCCATTCTCCCATTCTGAAAATAAGAGTGGACCCAATATCAAGTACCCTACAGCTTCCTTGAAATTTCCCCCTTTTTTTTTTTAAACAAAAATTAAGCAACAAGTGGCACCTCACAGTGGGATTCGTGGGGGGAACTCGCCCAGGACATAGCTCTCCAGAGCAGGAACATGAGAGTGGGCAAAAACATTCAATTAGGGGACAGCCTAAAAATTAAATTGGCTGGTTGCACCGCTGACACGGGCTGGGAACTCCTGTTTTAGATGATGACTGGGGTGGCAAAAGGCTGTCTTTGTTAGTGTGCCGCTTAGAGCCGTGGCCCCACTGGGGTCTATGGATGGGCCGCCCCTCGGGGGGGAGAGGGTGGGTGGGGCAAGCCACCAAAAATACATGTTTGTGTTCCTGACCCTATAGTGTTCCTTTAAGTTAAGAAGTAAGGGTAACAAATGAAAATCTGTTAAATTTAGAAAAACAATGCATCAGAAGAGATAAGATGGTGTTATAAGAATATATAGTCGGGGCTGTAGCAGACCCCGGGTAACCCGACTGGTTACCTTCAGCCACTCAGGAACCCTTACAACAAGCAGGCATCCATTTCCCCCCAGTAAGTGGACGAGACACAGCTCTGGGAGTACAACACTGACAATGCTTTATTGTTACAGGCTTAATTTATACACAGACCCCCCACTGGGAGTCTCCATTACATTCAGCACAAGTTCCTCAGTCTTGGGCTGGAGGGGGATGGTTTACAGATAACCATCTCTCACTCTGGAAGATATCAACAGTACAACATTTACAGACAATAGGACACATTACGGTACATGGGGAAAGCTTAGAGGACTCTGCATTCTGGGAAGGAAAAGGGGTAAACATATACACCAGGTCCCAACTAGGACCCCTGAAAATAACGGGGCTATCGGATGTACAGAGCCCGAGAAAACATTGTATAAAGTCTGGGCTCGGGGTTCTGTACATCCCCGCAATTAGTTCCACGCAGTTGCTTGGTTTAGTCCGGTGGATTCAAACTTCGCACCAATAGGCACTCAGGGAGGGGAGGCGTTCCGCTAGCCAATCAGGGAAAAAGGCGCAAAACCAAAGTGCGCCAATCAGCGCTCGGGGCGGGGAGGTGTTTCGCAGCCAATCAGGAGAAAGGGCGCAAAACCAGTTTGCACGGCAGCCCTTCTCCTAATGGCCGGCGAAACAACTCCCCGCCCCGAGCGCTGATTGGCACGATTTGGCGCCAGTTTTTACAGTAAGAACGATAATGTCTTATAATCTTCTTGGTCTCTTTTGTATTTTGATGATATTATCTCTGCTACTTTCTCATCTATAGTTTTCATTTAACTGCTTGTAAATACCCTCTAAAGACATTTGATCTTCCTGGCTGCCTACAATTTCTGACTATCTGGTTAATGTCCTCCTCTATCTTGTGTAGAGATCTTTTTTTAAAATCAATCAGACTTTGCATATATTTTTATAACATTCTTCACTCGCTAAATTCCACTCATCCATGAGTTCTCTATTTCCCAAGCCAAATTGATTAGAACATTGCCTCCATACCTAAGGGGTTAACTTCTAAATGGCAGAGAATTGAGCAGTGAGACATGATTTCTACACCAAAACTGCTTCATTAAACTGAAGTTGTTTTTGGTGACTCTAGTGTTCCTTTAAGGAATACTTGTGTAGACATTTTGGAGAAATGGTGGTCTGATTTTATCCAACATTAAGAGAAATTTTGATTCAATTTGGAAATGCCTCAATTCAAAATTCAAGAAAATACTGAAGTAGCACTGCTCAATTTGGAGAGAGATAAACGTTCTGTATTTTCATTCAGATTGCTGTAAATCTCTCCTAATTATGTTTTCTTTCAATAAGGATCTTATTTGATAGCAGTCTCTACATTTTCAGAGAAGCTAATTATTTAACGGTTTTTTTTTTTTCAAATTCCTTTCAATCCAGGCCTGAACGAATTAAACAAACTGGGATTTACCTGTGGAGTCTTTAATAAATAATATTTAACAGGTAAATCGCTGGCTAATCAATTAGTGACAATGTGGATTAAAAGGAGTTTGATTTAGAGGATCTGGCCAAAACTAATGTTTGCACAAGTCTTCTAATAAATATTTGTGTTTCCACACAGGGCATCAATGCCAAGTTTGGTAAATTAACCTCTCCTGCATTTTCCACCCTTGGTTCCAATATTTGGTGTATTCTAATGATGGAGAACTTGACAGCATGCATTCATAACACCACACATTCTTTTGTTCAAAATACTTCACACTATGTTTAATAAAGTGTCATCACATTTTCCCTTTTGTTGAACTTTAATTTAGGTTTGAGTTCTGAGCATTTATTTTAGAGTAGCATCATACTGACAGGTGTGTAGGATTGTCTGGAGGTCAGCTTGAATGTGCTTCAAAGTACTCTGCTGACACCTATTCCTTTTTATCTTATCTAGTAAAAGGACTGCACTCCAAAGTCATCTTGAATCCAAAGTAAAATCATCCTATTAATTGGTCACAGTTTCATCAGATCATGTTGGAATTTTGCTAAATATGAAAAACTAAAAAATAAAGTGAAATGTTGCATCAAATTGTGTTATCAAAATACGCAGACAAATAGACGGACTGGTGGTGAAAGAGAAACACACAAAAGAGCTGGTAAGAGTAAAATGCACAAAGGGGCTGGAAGAGAAAGAGATACACAAAGGGGCTGGGGGGAGTAAAACACACAAAGGGGGTTGTAAGATACACAAGGAAGGTGTATGACACACAACGGGGAAAACTAGGGGATAAGTAACACTAAAAGGGGTAAGACATTTGAAAAAGGGGACAAGAAACAAAAGCCAGGTTAAGAGGCACACAGGTGAAGGTGCTTTTGTGTGTGTGTGGGTGGGGGGGATAATAATGGGAGAAAACATGAAACAACTCTCATTATTATTTTGTTATTTATATAGCACCAGCAAATTCTATAACACTTTACAATTATAAAACTCTAGTATGCCACATCCTGGTTTGTTAAAAGCTCACTGCAAAACCTTGAAATTTCAACAAATCTTAGAACTTCAAATGTATTTTTTATTGCATATCTTTAATACATGCTCCCCACAGAGTGAGACAGATACATTGGGACTCACGCATACATACAGACACCAAAATCCTGGGTCCGGGGAACAAATGTGCTTTCAGTAACCAAACACTGCTGAATATTTCATGAGTAATCAAATTTTTTTTTACCCTTTAGGTGCTGGGGATATACTGTAAAAATAACACATTTGTGAATTATCATGCTTAAAATAGTTTATAATTACTAAAACAAACAAGTACTTTTATTATATTAATTATTATTTGAAACTTTATTGATAGCATAAAAAACAATTTGATTTCAAAATTAAAAAACGTTCATAAGGTCACAGCTGTAGGTTAAAACTAAAATGTAAAAAAAGTTGTTTCTATTTTGTCTGCTTCAGAATATGCTGCCTCGTGTATTCCCAAATCAAGACCGCACCACTCACATGGACATTAAGTGATCTAATTATGCCTTGTTGAGGAATTTCTACACAAACATCAAGGTGCTGTATGAGGTTGGCAGGAATACCTTCTCGTTCATTTCTAAAGAGAAAACACAAATAGAAGGTTAACTTATATTCAAAAATCTCAAATGGAATGGAAATTATTATGTTTACTCAAAGATCTAGTATGTTTAGCTTTAATAATGGTTCATCTAGGAATTGCATCACAAGTTCCAATCTGTTAGTAATCATTGAGGTTTAGTAAATAGAAAAATAAAAAAACGAAACAAAACAATTTCTCTAATGTAATTTCTTTGAGACAGATGAGCTTGGTGAAACCAGTTTTAAGGTGTTTACGTACCCTCTTGCGCACAGGCATGACGTGAAACTAATCCTGTTTTACCTTGTGCTATTTGAAACTCTCCTGCCTATGCTTAGTTGCTCTGTTGTGGTTCTTGCTGACCCAATAGCGCATTGCATGCAGTTGTCTCAATTCTGGTTTTGACTTTGGCTTGATTTCCAATTATCCTGATCTCTGTGCTCCTGACATTTTTGGCTTGTCTACAATTTCTGCTGTTTCCCCTGCCATGGACTTTGGCTTACACTCTGAATGTTCTATCGTTTAAATCTGGCTACTCTAAGGACCGCTAACAGGTTATCCTATATGAAGTTTGTGTGTTAGGGTTCCTAGCTACCGTTGACAGCAGCTCAAAGTCTTTGCAAGACAATTTCCTTCCTTTTGAGTCTTGCTTCACTAAGCTAAACTACAAGGAAGTAACAGGAACAGTTGTCTGTTTGAGGTGTAACAAAGTTAATATATAAAAGTGAAGATTTCTATTGACGCCTGCACTTTTTGTAAAATGAAAAAAAAAGTGAAATTGCTTTAGGTGTTTGGAGTGTCCCTTTAATGCGAAAACATTACATCAATATTATTTACATCTAAAAAAAACAAAACCATGCAACTGGTCTTAACGTCTCATTTTAGTTTTTTCAAAATTAGAATTTTATGAAATGCTCAGTAATACAAAGACACGGCATCACACGCAACGCAAAATAATGTAATTCACTGGTAGTCTTCAAGAGACTAATAAAGCTGTAATGAGAAACAAAAGAAACGGAGTGTAGCAAAGGAGAATGTAAGCAAGAGAAAACAATAGAGAAACAAAGAACAAGAGAAGAAAAAGAAAGACAGGGAGTAATCAGTTTTTTTCAAATCTGATTGATGGAGGTGCCCAGAAATGAGAAAAGGTCCCAAGCCTGGCAAAAAATTCCATGTTATCAGGGATGAGCTATTTTTCCACATTAAAAATGTACAAGATCGGGGGTGGGGCTTGAGATCGAAGCTGAACAGATGCCATCTATGTCAGCTCCCAACCTCGATACACAAAATCTTCTAATATCTCGTGCATCATCCACCATCTGGCCAGACTAAGACCAAACAACGACCTGAGGAGCGGAGAGGAGCAGATCGATGTGTTTTTTTTTTCAACCCCCAAAGTCTGGGAAGGTTAAACGCAATAGCAGGGATTACCTCCCACCGGCCATCCACAGCCTGGCTCTCCTCGGAGGTACCAGGGTGTATGACAACCTAGATAATGAGGGAGACGACACCTTGACACTTAGTGACACCTACGCAACAATCTGGCACCGCCCACAGAAGCTGCAGCCGGCCCCAGCCACTGACCAGCCAGATATTGGAGTGCTGTTACAGTGACAAGCACCATCCAAGATGGCCGCCACATAGGCCTTACTCGCTCTGGTGCGACCGACACTACAAGCCCACTCACATGCACCGCTGGCAAAACACCACGCTCCCAGCCCTAAGAGAATCAGGTGATAATACCTTTGCCACAAAGCATGCCCTCCAACAATGGATGCAGGAACTCCAGAACTTGCTTGCCGCGGATATCGGCACCCTGAGGGCAGATGTTCGCCAAATTACTGAGCGAGTGAGCACCATGGAGGAGGACATTCTAAAACTAAACAGCGGAGTATTGAACCTTACGGATACACTGCAAACAGCCTGGCTAGTGGTACAGGTGTCCACCCAAGATGATCGCCTGCACCGCAGCAACATTAAACTCTGGGGGGGGGGGGGAATTCCAGCAGCGACCACCTCAGATGAAATGCCATTCTTCCTTAGGAGACTTATGGCCACCATCCTGCCTCCTTCAGCTGCCTGGAAAATAACTCAGGAGGGCATATCGCGCTTACCGGCAGGGCCCAACTCACTTTCTACAGAAGCTTGGGATGTCATTCTGCGCTGTGCCACATCGCAAGACAAAACAACCATGACGGCGGTGAGCGGCAAGACCCCCCTGACATTTGAAAATTCCCAACTGCTCTTCTTTCAGGACTTAACAAGGGCCACGCTCCACTGGCGGAGATCATTGCACCACCCTACCAGCGGGCATACAATATTGATGGGGGACGCCAAGGGTCCTAACGATTACTCATAATGGGACTACCCACAAAGTCACGTTGGAGGCAGATATACCCGCAATTCTCACTCTCTTGGGACTCCCGGGACTGCCCATGACCAGGGTCACAAAAGGCCCATCCCAGATTGGAGATCTGACCACTACAATACCATTTACCCCTCGAACCCTGAGCACGGACTCGGATCCATGACTGAAACCCCACACAGGATCATCCACGCCGGTCAGGCTGGATACAACCTCATCAGCATACTGTTTTGTTATGACTTTCGTTCTCATTTTTGTTTCTTAGTATGTCAGTATGCCTGCAGCACAGTGATGGTTACGCATGTCCACTGAGGCGGGTAACTGATGCAACAGTAAAGTTTCAACTTGCTCATCTCCTGTTATTACCGTCTATTTTATTTTACTTTAATTTATTATGCTACAACTGTTTAAACATTGAGTCTCAACCTCATTGGGCGCAATACTGTGTTGTCTAAATTCTAAATGGAGCCATAAGCCTAGGAGTAAGCTCTTGCACTGCTACCAGTACTTGTAGCGTGACATGGTTAAAAAAGTAAAAATGAGTGCAGTTCAACTTAGTTATGTGGCTCAAATACCCATGTACTCTGACATGATGAGCTCTTCCGTATGTCAATGTAACTTGTGATATTTCTTCATGCACCTTTAAAATAAAGAAAAAAAAAATGTACCAGAGCCAAAAGAAGAGGTAATTTCAGTGCTTAGTGAAAAATATAGCAAAACAGATCGTCTGAACAAACAGCTGTTTTTCACAGGTGGCACTGCTTGGTACAGTTATTTAAAGGTGACCTCCAACGTTCAGAGGGCAGGATTTTTTTTGCTCCTACCTTTTTTATCCCTTCTACCTTCTCAACACATCCCTTCCCCTTTTTGCCTTTTTGTTAGGTGATGGTCATTGTTTCAACCTCCTTTTTCTTTAATTGTTATGCTATATATGCAAATTATACTGATATACTGTTCTTGCATTTATTTGTATATTATATAAAGCAGAAAATATGCAATATCTACATGGGAAGAAAAAGCAAAAACACAAAATATGTGTTATAAAAATGCTACTTTAAATAGACTCCTTTTGCTAAAAATGTCACACATATATAATCAAAAGTCCCTATAAAGTCTGCAAGTGGTTCAAGTGGTTCCTTAAACCTTTCCTGCCTCGTGCACTCCACAACAGTAGAATTGAAGTGGACCATAGACCAGTAGAGTTGAAGTGGACCATAACAACATCCTTTTGTCTAGGTTTGAAGTGACATGTACTATGTGCAGGAACAGTCTCAGAAAGGTAGCTATGCCTCAAAGTTGCAAACTCAAGAATGAGTTAAAGGGACACTATAGTTACCCAGACAACCTTATATT